ACTATTAGTAATAATTTAAAAATGAAAAAAAAGAAGGACGTAAATAAAATCGAAATCAAAAACGAAATCACAAAATGGCGACCAATGATAAAAATGAAATTAAAAACAAATTTTTATTTATTTTTTTTCGAAACTCGTAATAAAATATTTTAAATTAAAAAAAAAAAAAGTTCTGGAACGTGTTGGAACATTCCAAAAAAAAAAAAAAACGTATTAAAAAGAATTAGATTATATAAAAAAAACAACGTATTTAAATAAAATATTATCGCTGGATAAAAATTCCAGATCGAATTTTTTTTTTTTTATTTTTTTTTTCACGGAGAAAAAAAAAATGGAAAATGGAAAATGAAACGGGAAACTTATTTTTCGTATAAAAGAATAATTTCCCTTTTTTGGAAAATATATTTATATATATATAGGAGAAAAGAAAATTGAATGATGGAAAATAAATTCAAAGGACGTAAAAGGAAAATAAAAAAATAAATAAATAAATAAATAAAATTCGATGAATGGAATAAAAAAAGGAAAAAAAAAAAAAAAGTTTCACTATTCCAGAAACTCCAAAAACTCCAGACATTTTTCTTTTTTTTTCATTTCTTTTAGTTTAAGTTTAATAAAGAAAATTTTTCTTTTTTTATGTGTGAGTGCGTACCTGACTGACAACCCGGAAATGAAAAGGGAGGCAGGGAAACCGTGAGGAAAAGGGGCCTTTTATGTTTCGAACCAAAAAAAAAAATTATTATTATTATTATTTATTTTTTCTCCAGCGTAAAAAAGAAAATCATTTTTTTTTTTGTAAAATTTTACTGAAACGGGTACGAAATAAGGTAAAAGGCTGGAGTGTAAGAGAGAGAGAAAGAGAGAGAGAGAGAGAAAGAGAGAGAAAGAGAGAGAGAGAAAGAGAGAGAGAGAGAGAGAGAGAGAGAGACAGATCGATGGGTATCAAAAAAAATTTTTTTTTTTTATCTTTTCGTTCCCGTCCATCCATTTTTAATTCATTTTTAACATCGGACGTCGACGAACGCCTGGAGGGGCCCCGAAAAAAATTTTTTTTTTTTTTCTTTTTTCAAAAAACATTTTAAAGTAATTATAGATTCTATTATTATCATTATTATTATTATTATTGTTTTTTTTTCGGTCGGGTTTAAATTTTTTTTTTTTGTTTCACTTTTTCTATACCTGTTTGTCTTCCAGGTATTTTATTCCGTCTGCTGTAAAATGATGATGATGATAATAATAATACGAAATACAAATATAATTATTTTTTCACAAAAAAAAAAAAAAAAAATTAAAGCGACAAAAATTACGCTTTTAAATAACAAATAATAATAATAATGATAATGATAATAATAATAATAATAATAATAATAATAATAATAATAATAATAATAATAATAATAATAATAAACGTGTATACGAATCGATTAATCGATTAGTTAATTAAAGTCGAAATAAAAAATTTATCGTTTATTTATTTATTTAAAGTTTTTTACGCGACGAGAAATTTAACAACATTTAAACGTTTTTTTTTTCCGATATAAATGACGTCATTAAATATTTAATGACGAAATTCATTCTGCTTTCGAACACAAACAAATTAATGATAATGATAATAAAAGTTTTTTTTTTTTCGGGTATATTTTAAATTAAAATAATTTCGATATTTTTTTTTTTTGTTTTAATAAAAAAAAAAGGGGGGGGGGGGATAAACAAATAAAAAAAAAAATCATAGGCGAATAATAATAATAAAAAAAAACGCGGGAAATTCAAAAAAAAAAAAGAAAAAATTTAATTTAAAAAAAAAAAAACGAACTCGAATTTTTTATTTTTAATTTGCCGGAAGGTTCGTTTCAGGAAATCACGAATACCAATTTCGAAAAAAAAAAAAAAAATTGTTTTTTTTTTTTTTTTTTTTCGAGAACATTCTTTTTTTACGTACGTAATAAAAAATTTTATTCGTGCCAATATAAAAAAAAAAATTAAAATTAAAAAAAAAAAAAAATATTTTCAGAAAAGACATTTTCATATTTTTACGTATCCGTTCGTTTATTTCCTTTTCGTTAAAAAAAAATTAAAATTTTTCCCGTTGGAAAAATAAAATTAAAAAAAAAAAAAAAATTTTAAATTTCGGCCGCCCTTTGCCTCCCTTTTCATCCCTTTAATTCCAGCAAAAAAAAAAAAAAATTAAAAATCAATGCAAATTTTTTTTTTTTTACAACAACCCGACAATTAATCAAATCCCTATAATAATAATAATTGGTGAAAATAATATTAATAATGATAATAATAATAAAACGGATATAAATGCAAATTTTATAACGTTAATAAATAAATAAATCGTGCGTAAACGCATTATTACGCGCATACGAACGTGCGTTTTCTTTTCTTTTCTTTTTATTTCAACAAACGCAAAATACATCCGTTATAACCGATATTGTTTTTGTAAAAAAAAAAAAAAAAAAAAAAAACCATTAAAACGACCGCAAATTTTCAAATTTAAAAAAAAAAAAAAACAAACTATTTT